CAGGGTTCGAACCAACAATTCTCCTGAACTTCTTGTTGTTTATTGGAAGGTTTACACACTCTAGCTGCCAAAGAGGTTCTCACTTTTGTAATATGTAATATATATGTGTACATAAACTGAATGATAAAAGCAAATAAACCTGTTGAAGTGCTTAAAAACAAGAAAAAGAACTAGTAACAAGAATGAATAAACGCACGCACGCACACCCGCGCATACATGCATACAAATACAGACACACACAGAGTAACACTTGTATGCAGATATGCGTGTAAGATGTGCCAAAAATAATAATTCGTATTTTTCTACATACACATTTCACCATAGTCTACAATGACAGTCATACTACTTAATACTACCACTAATAATAATAATAATAATAATATCGATAGTAACAGTAAAAATCTAGTAATAGTGATCTTCATACACACACACAAATGACAGGTAAATAAGTAATGCTACAAAAAAACAACAACAAGAAAACAGAAAGATGAATAAGGCATACTGAAGTATATAAAGTAAATATACAACTCTCAGTGTTACGCGTAACAACACTAATCGATATGAATACTATATACACATATCATATACATAACTTATATACAATCACCTCTTTCTAATACAAAAGAAAAATATCAAACTTGCTAGATTTCTTAATCTTATCTTACAATGTCATAATTACACAGCAACAAGAACAACAACAAAAATAAGAGGTTGCTAAACTCTGATGGCTTTAATGTAGGCATGAATTGACACTAATATATGTATGATAGATAGATAGAGAGTCGATTGAATGAAAAGGGGGAAAAGCTTTGACAACACTCTGAGTGAATTCATAAAAAACAGAAAATGTCAAGAGGAAGAAAATGCAAAACAAAAAAAAACCTTCCACTTAAGGTAGGCAAAGAGAAAAAAAAGTAACCGTGAAGGGAAGTAAATGATGTTTTGACACATTCTGTGCTGCTCTTCACTAACTAGTCCTATCACTACATAGACAACCAACCAACCATCCACCCAATCACCATCTTCTGGTGTTAAAACAACTTCTCTGGAATAAGAAATGTTCATTATCAGATTTCCAACAACATCATGGTTACAAAAAACGACGGGGGTGAGGCGAAGTTCAACATAAGCCTTGTAGAAGTGTAAACACTCCAATGACTTGCAAAGCAGGCTAGTCGTTGGCTAACAGCGCCGCCTGTTATTATCATTGCTGAAATATCAACGATATTCACCGAGTGAGCAGGAAATTTCAGGCAGATCACGTTTTTAAGTACTGTTTCGATAAGTGTGTTAATGGCTCCTTAGGGTTGGGATTAGAGTTTAACGTAAGCACTATGGTCGGAATTAGGGTCAGGGTGTTAGGGTCAAGACTAAGATTAGGATTACGACTAGGGATAGAATTTAGAGTTGATATCATTTATTTTAATATCCACATCTACCTAAGAAGTAGTCATCGGTCCTCCTACTGGGAACCATAGTATTGCAGCCGAGGGCTTTGTGGAGGAATGCACAACATAATCAGAGAGATAAATGATTCACAAAAACAAGTCACCTTCAATCACTTCGGTGAATACATGTAGAGAAATTAGTCAAACTAAGCAACTGATACTCCTCATTATAACTGGGACGTATTTTTAATTCATGTTAGAGAAAGATACCCTGTTTGTAATGTGTTTTATCATGCATTTTCCTATATATATATATATATATATATATATATATATATATATATATATATATATATATATATATCAATTTTTGTGCAGAAATTCTTCATTTTTATGACCGATCGGCTCAAGATCACTGATGAGTTTGCACCCCTTGGGACACTGTTGTAGAACTTTGCCCCTGTATTGCATTCTACCTATTAGATACTAATCATGGAGGTGACGTTAACTAATTTTATTATTATGGTATCCTTTAATTCCTAGAGGAACATACGGCTTCAGCTGCGCACCTCCATTCCCTTCTGTTTTCTGCTAACTTTTTCACCCCGCTCCAAGTCTGTCCACATGCTTTCATCTCCTCTTCGCATGACCTCCTCCAAGTCACTCTTACACGAGCAACTCGCTGCTTCCCTTTCGGGTTCCACTCGAGTAATGGCTTGTCTAGTGATGTCACCTGATGGTTTCCTCAGCGTATGGCCAATCCATCTCCATTTCTTCCTGTCTATTTGTTTCACAATCGGTTCCTGATTGGTTCGCTCCCAGAGATCCCTTTTGCTGATCTTTTCTGGCCATCTGGTCTTGAGTGATATTGAGCGAAGACAGCTGTTGTTGAAGGTCTGTAGTTTGTTTTGATGTGCTCTTTATGACACACCAAGTTTGTGATCCATAAAGTGGCACTGACTTACTTCACATTGGAGTTGAAAATCCGGAATTTATTTTTGATGCTGAGTGCTGTTGACCTCCACACAGACTTGAGAGTAATGAAAGCTAGTCTTGCTTTCCCGATCCTCGCTTTGATATCCTCGTCAGTTCCGTCCACCTGTAGTTGAAACGATGTTTCCCAGGTAGGTGAAGGAGGTTGTTTCTTTCAGGTTCCTCCCATTTATGCTGGCTGGTTGTTGTCTGTTGTTGTTGTTTCTGTTGGTGTTGGCTAGGAATCTTCATTACCTCTGTTTTCTCTATGTTCACCTGTAGTCCTATCTTTTCTGGATGCTTCTTCTGCCAGCTTTTTGCTTTTCACTTGCATATCTTCCAGTTTGTGGGAAATCAGACATATATCGTCGGCGAAGTCCAGATCCTCCACGTTTGTCTTTGTGTGGGTCCTTTTTATGCCTGTTTCCTCGTTGGTTGCCGTTGTCTGTCGTATTATCCAATCTACTGCAATCAGGAAGATCATTGATGATAGTAGACAGCCTTGTCTCACTCCCGTCCTCACTTCGAAGGCTTCCGTAAGTTTCCCGTTGTGGATGTTAACTAAACACTTCGAAAACCTCATACAGTTTTTCCAATTAATAAATTTGAATAAAGCAAGAATGTCATATGTACCAGGATAATCTAAGACTAAAAGACCCACAAGCATTAGACAGTGCGATTGCACGCCACCTACTAGACACGGATCATGCTGTGAACAACCTGAAGGCGTTCTATATAACCAACAGACAAATCTAGCCTGCTTCATTTTGCTGAGGCATTCACCATCAAACGGCCAACCTGAATAGGGCCAGTCGCTAGTAAGCATTCCATTGATATTCAAGTATTGGTTTGTAGGGATTTGGTTGATTGGTTACAGGATTTCACCAGTAGAAGGCTTGACACGCGCACTTCTAAGTATAAGAATTTCATGACACCATATTTGGCGGCATGTATTTGATGAGGATGGAAGTAGTGTCAGGCACAAACTAACTAACCTTCTTCCCACTAGTAAATCAAGGATTACATCCATCCTTATACAAACAAGTTTTATTGTTATTATTTCTCTCATATTTATAGTCCTTTAGTGTTTTTCGTCTATTTTTTCATAATTGTAAACACCATTTAAGCTCTGTAGAGTAGTAATCGTTATTTTTTGTTTTTCCCCTCACCATCCTATGTCAAGAGAACATTCTATAACACGCTGAAATTCCATACTTTATCAACAGTGCTGTTTCAAACAAACCTTGTAACCGGAAGGTCCTGGGTTCGAATCCCGGTGGGTGCGTACTGCTGAAGAGTCCCAAACTAGGACGAAACAGCTGTCCAGTACTCCAGTGCTGGTTTTCCAATGGTTCTCTAACTAATGTCAGCTCATGATGAAATCCTGAAACCAACCAAATCCCTACAAACCAACACTTAAAAACCTATTATTATTATTATTATTGCTAACATGGTTATTATTTTCATTTTGTACTTCGCACATTTTTGACTTTATTCCCGCCGTAAATGTGGACGAATTTCTGTGGTTATTCTTATTTATATTTTCAGTACATCAGATGCAATATACTGTGACAAATGCTGAAAATTCCATACTTATCTTCGTGGGATCAGTCATTCTGCACTTAGCTAAATTCTTATGTTCCGATGACAATCTGACTACCCCTGACATCTGAGACCCTCCCCACGTAGGATTCTTAATAAAACAGGAATTAGAGTGGTAGCATTTAAACCTACAAACTCCCTCAGGTAGGACAAGCTCTGTAGGTTAAAAGGACCCAGTCGGTTGACCCAATCAGACAAAATAATATAATTAACAAAATACCTTGCAATGACTGTGAGTGAGGTCAACTACATGGGTCAAACTAGTAGGTCGGGAGTAGTCGGTAGATTGTCGGAACATAAGAACTGAACCAAGGTAAGAATGACTGACCGCCACTCAACAATTTCACTGCATGCATTAACACACAACTACACAATAGGGTAGCAAGGTGAGGATGAAAATTCTAAGAAGTAATATAGGTGTCTGCGTGGAGAGAGAGAGGTTGATTACTGAATCCTTGTTCATCGAGTCTACACACGTAACACATGCGATAGGAATGACTCACCACTCATACTGGAAATATGGAAAATACTACCACCAATCAAATCAAGCGATGGAAAATAATGATGGAATTATATAAACGAAGTTAGAAAGTTGTGTGAGTAGTACCTTGAAATGATTATGAGCAGTAATAAGTTTGTGCTCGAAACGTGGCGGCATCAGTAAATATTACTTGTTGTATAACACTGTGAGACTTCATCGAAAATAAACTTTACCCATAGTGGAATTATACGATTTTCCATGTCTTCTGACGAACAGACTGTTGTTCAGCAGGTGGAACAAAGAGTTTGCTGATATCAGTATTTCTACGAAACCACCACCCAACGCGTTATACTGAAATATTGGTTGGAATGTGGGGGGTGGGGTTAAGTTAAGAAAAAACAGCTATATCGATCGACTTACCACAAATGTAACTAGAAAAATGAGTTATTTAACTCTCATTACCAAAATAATAGATATGTCAGTGAAGTGATTCAAAGAATTATGTAACACAAATATATACAATGAAAAGGTCTCTCTCTCTCTCTCTACAGACTTACCACTATCATCCACAGGATGCACACGTCGACGACGATCATGTATCACAGTTAAACTTGAATTGTTCCCATTAGTATTACTACTATTATTATTAGTAGTATTATTACCATTTGAATAATGATACACATAATCTGAATGATCAAAATTTAAGTTAGATACTAAATCTGACATCTGATGATGCTGATAAGTAGGGTGGTTCTGCTGTTGTTGATGATGTTGGTGATGACGATGGGGTTGATGCGTAGGACTATCCAAGCCTAAACGTCTATCTACATACGGGTCTGGAGTTTGTGCACGTAGATGTGATGAACTACTTGAGGATATACTATTCTCACCTGTACTCCCAGAGTTATGCTGGTAACCGATTCTTGAGGAAAGCTGAAATAGAAGCAAATAAAATAAAATCACTACAGATTGGGAAAGCTTTTCACACGAGTATGATTGATAGTGGCTAGCAGTAGAATCGAGAAGACATTTCTTGGAGAAGCATTCTATTCTGGTAGTATTAAGATAGATTATACGTCCATTAGCAAGTGAATTATCATTGCTTCTGCAGTTTGAATAAGTCTCATTCGTCCAATCATTACACTTGAAATGGACGCATAATCTATCTTATTAATAGCAGGATAGAATGCCCATCCAAGTAACGCACCATAACTCACTGGTCATTTCAAAATACTCCTCATTCAGATATAGTTACCAAAGAGAGATTCGACTGTGACAAAAGCGACAGCCTTTTACCAAAATATTGGTTCGGACACTTCAAAAAAACAAAAAGAATATCTTTTTTTGATATGTGTATTTATGTTTATATACATCCAATATTCTAGAACAGTCGTCATTAACAATATCAGTGTGCTTTTAAAATAATGTCGATTTGTTAAGTAAGATTAATGGAATTACAGCTAACTAAAGACGTATAAATTATAACGTGTGTCGGTGGCACAGCGGTAGAGTGCTCAGCGGCTACGCAGGTGTTCCAGGGTTCGATCTCTGGCTACAGACTCACTCCCTTACCTCGTTCACTAAGCCAGTAGTAAGACTGGTGAAGAGGGAAGGTTGGGCATGAGGCTGGCTACCCCCATCTGACGGCCAATCCGTGAATATTATCTTGTCATTTCGTGATATATATATATATATATATATATATATATATATATATATATATATATATATATATATATATATATATATATATATATATATATATCGCAATCGCCAGAAATGCCTTTGGCAAGTAACTGTTCTCTTAAACTGACTTTATATACCCCGCTGGTTACGAATTCACACAAACTAGATCAAAGCCGCTATCCAGTACTCCCTGATCTTCTAACAGTCTTCTAAATAATGTTTGCCATGCAGTTGTCAGTCATACATTTGTTGACTGACCTTTTCATTTATATTTCAGGGGCTGTGATTCATAGATAACAGTACTCGATCAACACGACGGGTTCCAGCCCCCGCTACTTCACTTACCGAAGTTTGGGTAGCCGAGGAGTATTACTACATCTTCACAACAGGTGTGACTCAGTGTCTACTGCAAATAGAAGCACGAATGTTTATTGAGCAGCAGTTTCAATTTCGCATACACTTCGAGAATCTACATTACGCGAAACACATTTTCCATGTACTGAACTATTAAGTTGTACCTATCGTTGTAGGACACATGATAGCTCACAATCGTCTACGTTGAAAGTAAGTAGGTAAGAGAAGTGAATAAGATTCAAAACCCAGAACCCACCATTAGCATCAGCTGAAGGAGCCACAAAACTCATAAAACACAGTGAAAGACATAATAAGATGAAAATTTTTTAAAATAAAATAGAGAATTTTATAATAATCGAATCTCTGTTGGTCGTCTCATATCCTGTTGATTTCTCAGAAAGTTTTCGTTTAACTTATTATATGAAGAAGCTGAGTCTTCCTCCTGACCTGACTCAACTGCTTCGCTTATAATTTATGAATTCATGTATTCTGCCCATGCTCCTTTATTGCCCGTCCCATGTTATTCTTCCCTGGACCTCTCAAAAACAGCTATATCATATTACGTGGAACACTGAAGTAGTAGTAAGTGGGCAGAGTTAGTGTAGTGGCCTATGACTCAGCTAACTGATATGATTGTCAATAGACACTTCGATTCTTGCAAGCATTTCGCTGACGTTATCTTGTCCGATACTGAACATCCTCTTTATTCTCAACTTCCTCCTTGTATCTCTTCGGGGTATGGAACCATAAGAAACTCCATAAGAATTTATGCCCATACGGCTACCAAAAATATAAAAATTCAACTATTCTAGTACCATTTAGCACGGGTTCTGGGCGAAGAGGGAGTCAGATGTCAGAAAAGAACTTTCAACTTATAAACTTTTTAAATCACTAATCTGAGCTGCAAAGTATAAGCAAAGATTATTATTATTATTACATGTATTATCTATTGTATTATCTACTTATACTTCATTATGTTTCCACCAACTTTCTGTTTATAGTGGTTTCATTATTAGTATTATTATTATTACTATTTTAAGTTTTATGTATGTAAATATATTTATAAAAGGAGCTAAATTGTTGTAATATGTATTAAAAAATCGCTAAGAATTCCATTCTTTATGATTATTATCGTTAATATTGTTTGGAATAAAAGGTGTCGTCAACACATCAGTGCACATGTGATGAATTAATTGAAGCCTTTCGACACACTACATCATCGATGTACTTCTATAGATGATGGAAATTTCTTTTTAACAGCATTACTACTTTTGTTGATTGCATAGTAACTAAATCCTGGCCGATGACTGCTACACCTTGTCGTGGTGGTCGCGCTTGAATACCGCAATGACCCAACAAGCTGAACTGACTGGGACTCTGTCCCTACAGGTCCTACCATGTCAGGAAGGTTGTTTGGATAACGGTTCAACTAAAAGCAGTTACCATGGGGTATATGAGCTCCAGTATCCAATCGGATCGAATGGCGTATGAACCCATATGGGTCACCGGAAACCATGGAAATGCAGCTCCTGACGCTGTTCCGCAGCCTTGCGGACTAGAAACCAAGTCAAAGGCTCGGGGTGGTCCCTTAATAAAACCATCTACTTCGGTTTGGGTGCCCGGGCAGTATCTCAGCCCTCACACAATGAATTGAATGTAGCAGCAAACAATCAATGAAACTTATCGCGTGCTATTACACGTGTTGTAATTTTCTTCCCTTCCCGATGATAGTTAACGAATACTGTTTGAACTTGTTAAGCATGAGCGTTTTCCTTCCAGATGAAGTTCATTATCCGTTCTCTACTTATTTATATATATATATATATATATATATACATATTTCTCTTCTTTCTTTTTTTCTTTTGATCTATGTTGTTTTATTATTATTGTGTGGCGCATCCTTCTTGGTGCCATACTGTACCAAGTTTTATGCGTTTAAATAAATAAATAAATATAATAACTAAATATATGTAATATTGACAAGCATCAGTAATAAAGATTACAATTTTGATGAATAATAATTACTGTGCAGAAACACACACAGATACACAAATTTGTAATGCGTAGTCTTTCTGTTTTATTTATTTATTTAATTTACTCCTTTAGGTTCTCAGTGGAACAACGTGGGGCTTCAAGCTATAGAGGTTTGAAGTTTCTGTAGCAGTGGTGTTTATCTTTATGAGAGTTCGCCTGTGACCGAGGATCAAACCCCGGACCACCTGAGTGGTTGTCAAGCCTACTGCTTTATTTATTCAATCATTTAAAATTAATGTATAATCAAGAAAAATTACAAACACAATCCCCCCTCCCTTAAGGAATGCACATATATGCATAAAAAAAGGTCGACATCCTCCCCGAGGATTGTGTACTTTTGCAACTTAACCTAGAGTCACTCTCACTTGCTAGCCTACTACGGTAAAACAAATGAAATGCAAGAAAAGAAAAGTAAAATTCTACATCATTAATCCGAATCACCTCTAATTGACCTGAAAAACAGACATTGTAATGTGTTCAACTGTCATCACACGAAGACTAATTCTATTTTTATCCCCAAGTATATAATACTGATTTAAATATTAAAGTAATAACTATCAGTTCTTTCGTGTACCATTTATAAAAACAACACATTATTCATTAGAGTGCAGAAAAGTTTGACATTTGTCAAGATTTGATAACCAATCATGAATGTTTCATTATATGACTTGACGATATCTTCATTAACAAGTTAATTGAGTATTATTATTTCTTGGGTTCTGTTCTCTGCCGTCCTCTTTAGCTAGCTCCACAGTTGCCCATAGGCTCTCAACTCCTCCGTGTCATCCAGTTACCTACGGCCAACTTGTCATTCACTTCCCATTCGCGTTACACATAAGGACCTTTCTGACGGGTGACGTCACTCAATAGTCTCTTCAGCGTGTGTCCAATCCATCTTCATTGTCGTTGAAATATTTCATGGAGGATTTAATCATGAGCTGACATCAGTTAGAGAACCACTCGAAAACCTGGGAGTACTGGACAGCTGTTTCGTCCTAGTTTGGGACTCTTCATCAGTACGCACCCACCGGGATTCGAACCCAGGGCCTTCTGGTTACAAGGCGAGCTCGTAGACCATTGAGCCACTGGGACCCGATCGAATGGTCCTTGAATTCTAACTTCTGCCAATTCACGCACGACATAGCGCGACCACTTCGCAATGTCTTCTTCGATGAGTTACTGCCTCATCTTCAACCTACTGTACCCTACTGGTCACGGCTTCCAACCAATACTTGAAAATTGATCTGTGCTCACTAGTGACTGGCCCTATTCAGGCTGTTGACCTGGGGTTCCAGTGGGAAGCCGTGACCAGTAGGGTACAGCAGGTTGAAGATGAGGCAGTAACTCATCGAGGAAGACATTACGAAACGGTCGCACTATGTCGTGAAATGGCAGAAGTTAGAATTCAAGGACCACTGGATCGGGTCCCAGTGGCTCAATGGTTTACGCGTTCGCCTTGTAGGCAGAAGGTCCTGGGTTCTAACCCCCGTGGTGGATGTGTACTGCTGAAGAGTCTCAAACTAGGGCGGAGGAAACAGCTGTCCAGTACTCCCAGGTTTTCGAGTGGTTCTCTAACTGATGTCAGCTCATGATTAAATCCTCCATGCAATCAAACAAAATCCCTACAAAACCAATAGTTGAAATATTTGTTGGGTAATAGGCTCTTAACTCGTTCGTTCCCAAAGTTCCCTGTTGCTAATTCTATCGTGGACAGCCGTCTTATCTTCAGTAAGGAGGCGGTGAGTGGAGCAGCAAGTGATAAAAGTTTGAAGTGGCTCGTTAGATGAAGCGATAGCTTATATAAAACAAGTAACTGACTGACTTGACAATAAAGTTGAAAATCTGAATTTTATTTATAC